TACATTCTGTCTCTGTCACTCCCTTAAAAAGAAAAAAAGGAACAAAGGCAAGTAAAATTATGAAAAGGTTTGCTCTGGAAGTATCTGTTAGTGGTAAGTAGAGTATTTAGAGCCCACTGTGTGCATCTGCAGACACTGCTTAGTATACCAAGGCATGGTTAAACAAGTCACCCCGCAATGGACAGGTTTCTCAGAACCACTAAGGCTGAAGCATTTGGGTTTGGTTAAAGTAATCCCCTTATTTTCACTGTCATGCAGTGTTCAACTCAAAATGAATATTTTGTGTTCCTATGTACCTCCATCTTATCCACTTGAAAATGTGCAGCCATCAGTATGACAGGCATGTCACCATGTAGGTGACATTTTGGAAGGTGCTGCTGCTGCTCAGAAGGGCAAAAACATGTATTTCTATTATCACAGTTTCAAAAGAGTGTAAAACTGAGAAAGGAGTGCAACGGTGTGTGGTCACAGGGCTGACACCGAGAGAAAGCTGTGACACCTTGTTACTCTGACAACTATAGCCTTGTCTCCTCACTGTCTGCCTCCAGACACAAACATGCTGAGACAAATGAGGCTTCCAACTACGCATGGGTCCTGCCTGCCAGGAAGAGTCCAAGCTGGACAAAAAGTGTTGAAGTCTTTAAAAGATCAAGAATTACTTTCTCCTCCAAGATTTAGCATACAAAACTACATTTCAAGTTTTTAGCAAAAACAAAAACAAAACCAGTATCTTCCATTCAAATAAACACTGAAAATAGATTCCTAAATACTAACAACTGTATTCACCATATTATCTCATCATTTCCACCCACACTGCTACATACTTAACTACAGGTGTCTGTTATTCTCAATTATTTCATTTTCCAGAAGTAATTTTTAACCTCAACAGCATTCCTCTGACAAGTATATGAAACTAAATTGGCCCTATGTAAACCACTCTACATGGAAACTTAAACCCAAAGTCTCTGTCCTAAATCCTCCATTCAGGAAAACATTAATTACTTCCTCCTGTGTTACCACTTGTCCACTCTCTGAATGTAATACAAAAGTCTATACTATTTCAGGCTCTCCCTCACTTCGCTGGAGTGACCTCACTGAACAGCTCTTGTTCAGCTTTATTCCTCAGTTAGTAACAGATAGTTGATCCAAATAATTTAACAATAAATCATGTGTGCACTGGTTGATAGGCCAACTATATCATTTCACCAATTTTCTAGAACATTCAAAAAGTTTATAAATCCACTTCTCTCTTCTTTTTGTTTTCACCACCAAAGCATGTGTTACTTACATTACTATTAGACAATACTGCAAGTAATATACTATAGACTCTTCATTAGCCTCTTTGGTAGTTGTCTTCTCCATTCAGTTCCTTTTACTGCTATCACATTAATCTCCTTTCATCTCATTACACCCCAATTAAAATCCCCAAAGGTACAACATTACCTGAATGGCTTGTTAAAACAGACAATGAGAGCCTGCCCCTAGGGGTTCTACACCAGTGTTTCTGGTTCAATAAGTCAAGGGTGAGATGAACTTATGCATTTTAATATGTTCATAAGTAATACCAATACTGCCAGTTCAAGAAACATTTGTAGAACCACTGGTCCCAAATATATCTGAATCACCTCAGAAGCTACACAACACAGAATCTAGAATCTAGTAATTATCCACCATACACCTTTATTCAAAAAGGGGTTAAGAATCAATCCGGGGATAAATTTGACATGTTAGCAGGTTCAAAAACTACTAATGTGAAATCCCAAACCACTCAAATGACACTAAAGGCCTTCCAGAAACTACAATCTGAATCTACTTATTGAACCTTTTCTTCTAGTCCACAAAATAAGCCTTCAGTTGCAGCTAAATCTTCCTTTTTCTTATTTCTAAAGACCTGGTCCATTCACTTCTTTTGTACTATCTACTAATATTATCTCATTAGTTTTTCTACTGCAGAATAATAGTACCATTCCCCAATTTCTCTCCCTCCATAATTTCTGTACTGATCCAGTTCATCAGCCAAAAAAATTCTTTCTTAATCCCTCTAACATGTGTCATAATGATGTATGATACTATATATTACATTAATGACTGTTTTTTACATTTAATGGTATTAGTCAACAGGTATATATCATTACATATTCAGCTTATGAATAAATGCATAGTCTAATATTCTCAGTATTATGTAACTTGAAAGAACTTTGAGAAAATTAAAAAAGACAGAAATCTAAAAATAGTTTAAAAGTTGTAAAATCATTTTTTGTATAGTAGTAAGTTAAAACATTTAGATTAAGCTGGAAGTGGAACTGTGGCTCAAGTGGTAGAATACTAGTCTTGATCAAAAAAGCTCAGGAACAGTGACCAGGCCTTAAGTTCAAGCCCCAGGACTGGCAAGAAAAAAATAACATACATTTAGATAAATTTCTCAATAGAAAATGCTTTCCTCTCAGACTGAATGTTTTCTTTTAAGATAAAGAACAAGTAAAGATTAGTTTCTATAATGCAATATTAATGTAATTCTAGTGCAATATTTTCTTTTTATTCAGGGATTTTAGTATCAAATCTATAGATTAATAAGATAAGTAAAATAGCTGAGAAACAACAATAGATCAATTCTAATTATGATACAGTCATTCTACAAAAATGTTTTTTTTTAATTTTCTAGTAGCCATTTTTTTTTACTGTGAAAATACTGTACAGAGGAGTTACAATTACATGGGCAAGATAGTGAGTACATTTCTTATCAAGCATTGTAGCCTCCTCCTTAGTTTACCCTTCCCATCCCTTACCAGCCTTCCCTGACCCCCCCCCCCCCAACCCAAGAAAAACAAGAGAGGGCAGAAAAGTATAGGGCTAAGATGGGAAATCTATGAAGGAAGATAAAAAAAGGAAAAAGACCAAGAATGCTTTCACATTAATCTCAAACCAACTATAAATATATGAAATGTTCTTTCTACATTAAACTTTTTATTAGAATAGTTTGGTTTTTATATGCTTTATACTTGTCAAATAGCTTATGGAATTGTTACAGGTATTCATTAATGTGAAAGAGCCACAATTTTACCATGGGATTATAAATTACTAACAGATAAACATAAAACTGATACCTCTTTAATGGTTCTTCAAGACACAAAAATAGATCTTGTCTACTGTCTCTTAAACTGTAACAAAAAAAAAAAATTTAAGGATCTGCATTACAGAAAAACAAAGAATGAACACCAAGACCCATGATAAAAGTAGGACATCTGGACAATAGATATGTGGATCCAAAAAATGTGGTACCTATATACAATGGAGTTTTACACAGCCATCAGGAAGAATAAAATAATACCATTTGTAGAGAAATGGACAGAACTAGAACAAATCATGTTAAGCTAGGTAAGCCAAGATCAGAGAGACAAACAGCACATGTTCTTCTGATATGAAAAAGTTAGATCTAAAGCACACTGGGATATGACAAATGACACAAGATTCTAGATACTCACATAAATAGTCTTAGGAGAGAATTACAAAGGTGCAATACCCAAGCAACTCTTCATATATATAAAATAATATACATACTGAAACGAACCCCAAAGATATGAAAACAAAGGACTCTTCTTCATTTGTGTTTTCTTTTGCTCATGATTCTTTATTCTTTACTTTATATTCAGTATATTCACGTGCTTATCTGTAGGAGGGTGGGAAGAGGGCACAGAATCTAATTTTAAAAAAGGTTGAAGAAGTGCAGCAGTGGAGCACACTGGACATTAATGGAAGTGAACTATACAACTCATGGGTGGAGACAGGGGACAGGAATGGGAGAGAAGGAGGGGATAGATGACACTTCACAAAAGGAAATGTATTTATTACCTAATGTTGGTAAATGTAACCCTCTGTATATCATCTGTATGATAACAATAAAGTAAATTAATTAAAAAATAAGACTTCTCTAGACAAAGTAACATGTAGTAGCCCAGGGCTAGGTTAAAAGGAGTGGGAAATAGAGAATAGATACAAGGTGATGTTTGTGGGGTGATAAAAATGTCTTAAAATTATATTGAGGTTGTTGTGGTATAACTCCATAATATACTGAACTCCACTTTAGAAAAGTGGATTTCTTGAACCATTAAGCTAGTATCTTTAAAGGTAGCAAAATAAATAACCCATTCCATAATACAGAGACAAAGCACAAAAATCACTCCTTCTAATCTATATATAGAAAAGGTGTATCTCTTCTTGGTAATAGTATTACAAATAGGGTCGTTATTCATTTCAATGTTGTTTTAAATTTAGAGTACTAGTCCAAGCCAAAGAATATAAACTCATTCAGAAAGTATTTTATAACTTTGCCAGAGAAGATACATAGTCCACCCAACACTTCTTCCTAGGATTTAAGTACTCAAGTTTTAAGTGTTATAATATGATACATATAATTCCATTTAATAATAGTATACCTGCTATGTTTAGGTAATAACAAACTAGCATCTCATGATAAATTTTCCATTTATATCTTTTTAGCCAATCCATATTTTTACATTCTAAGTATGTTTTTAAACAAAAAATAAGAAACTTATGTTAAGAGAGTAAGAGAGCTTATTTTTCAGCAAGAAAAGAAAAAGTAGAAAAGTTCACATATAAAGGAAACTAAATGCAATACATAATTTTGGATTGGCTTCTCAACTGAAGAAACAAAAACTCTGGTATTAGCAACATTATGAGATCCTAGGACAAAACTAGAGTATATCCAGTAGGTCAGATGAATAGATGCCATTTGTTCATACACAGAAAAAGTGGTCAAATGTTAAGAATAGCTAAATCTGAGTAAAGAAGGACATGTGTACTTCTGCTTTTCTATAAACTGCTTAAAAATTAACAAATAAATAGATAATAAGGAAAAAGTATTTTACCTTTGCCCACATATTTACTTTTCTAGCTCTTATTCATCTTCTACATGAAAAAAAACTGTTCATTTAATAAAGTGTAGCTTCAGCTTTAGTTGACTTAGAAATGACACTATTTGTAGCACTAGTGTGTCTTTGTCTAATTTGTTACAAAACCTTACAGACAGGTGCAAACAGTAAATCCTCTTTTGCAGCCCAGAACTCACTGTTGAGTATGAGATTTTGGAACATGTAAGAAGGAATATGTTGGCAATGTAGGGGTTTGTTAACTTATACAGGTTGGCTCTGAGAATAAAGTTGATGTAAAAACTTATTTTTTTAAGCCTTTATTTTATCTTCATTCCGAAGGATATTTTCAGTTGATAACAAAATTCCAGATTGACAATTTTGGGGTCTGACTGAACATGTAAAATGAAACATTGATTTTTGGGTTACAGTTTCTGATAAGAAGTCAGTGATAATTTCTATCACTGTTTTTCTATGAGTAATGTGCCCTTTACTCCTGACTCTTGGTAAGATTTTTTTTTTCCTTAGGTTTTCAGCAAATTGATAATGCTGTTTCTAAGTGTTGATTTTCTTTGTGTTAAATCTTGCTTGGGATCTGGTGAGCTTCTCAGATCTGGGGGGCTTTTCAATAAATTTGGAAATTCTTTGGCAATTATTTCTTCAGGGCTTTTTCTGCTAGTATACTAATTCAGATACTAAATTTTTTATTGAACTTCTTTACTGTGCCTGTGTGTCATATTTTCTTGCTTTTTCATGAACATAGGAATTGTATTCTAGACACTGGATGCTTCATTATTCAGAATTTGAGTTATGTTGTTCTTACTTTAAAGTTTTCCTCTCTCAGACAGTTTATTTGTAAGTGGATAGAGCTAATTCCAAAGGGATTTGGTTTGAGGTTTTGCTGTGTGCAATCTACACTAACCTTTCCATTATACCTAGAAACAGCTGTATTCCCAAAGCATGACCTTTCTGAAGTCATAGATGACAGCATACAATATTCAATATGCTCTCCACCAAAACTAGCTGGTCTGAATTCAAACATTTCCAAGTATTCAATGTCCATTCGGTTCACAATCCCACTGTAACTGCATTGTAGAGTGCAGAGCTTCATATATAACCAAAGGTTTATTGGCACTCCACTTTATATTTTCTGGGACTCTTTTATTCAATTACCTCCTCTTAGAATCCTAGTCCATAAATTTCAGCTGTTCTGCATCCCTAAACTCAGATCTGTGCTTCCCTTGCTCCGAGTCGGTTGATGTTTGACCACTTTCCTGCACCACAGTTTGGCAAGTGCTCCAAAGAGAAGCAGGAACAAAAGTGGAGCTCATTTCATGTGTTCTCTCTTCTGCTGACTACAATATCTGTGTCCACTCAGGCTTATAGGTGCTAATAGCAAAAGATAATTTCATCGTGGCTAGAATCGGAAGTCCCTAATTCTGTTTCTGAAATGGACTTAAAATATATTATCTTACACTTAAACAGGTAACATAAAAGACAAACATTATTTCCATGTGTTGGATTAACAAATCAGGATATATAATGTGTTAAATAACCTACCTTTAACCCATAAAAGATATTTATAGAAATATTTATCAAACACCTATTACAGGCGCATAGTAATTGACATATTGGTTACAGGAACTTGGAAAATGTAGTTTCAACCCACATTATTTCTACCAAACCATCAATAAAGCAAATGCACTGTACCAAAAAAAGGTCTAATGAATTCATACTAAGACTCTATCATTCAATCCACCAGGAACAAGCCTATATTCTCAAAAAAATCACTGCAATTTACATTTATGATTTATTTTTTACCATAAAAAAACACCTATTTGCTATCTAAGTAATTTCATTCCTACAGTTACAATTTTCTACAGTTTTCCCTCCCTATACTTATATTAGTAGTTACTACCTAATCAAGTCCCTTCTATTTAGCTATGTCAAATCTTGAGTTTCAGCTAACTTAATTGTATTTCTAATTTTCATATGGCCAAATCAAGTATGTTTTGCTGGCATATGAAGAAAAAATATAATACAATTCTAAATGCCATTTCAGTAGTATCATTCCAAACAGTAGTATGGTTTCTTCTATCTTCAATCAATCAAACTGGTACATTTTCATCTTGCATATTTATTTTCACCCCTCATACTAACTTCTTGACCTACAGAAGTTTGGTTGTAAGAAAACAGCCATTAAATGAAGTTCATTTTATAGAATAGTGCTTAAAAACATGTTAATATTTATTATCTTTTTAAATTATTTAATAGTTAAATTTTAAAATCTATTTACTCTATATCCCTTGCAAATTTCAAACTTACTACATAGCCCAGCCTATTCTCAATCAATAATATCCTCCTTTGCCTCTCAAGTCACTTACTATCTTAATATTTGACTGATCCCAGTGAAATAAAGTACATTTGAACACAAAGCCAGATTCTGTACAACCTTGACTTACATTTTGAGAATCTGTTCTTATTTTTAAAGCCTAAGCCAGAAAAAAAAAAAAGTTTGTTGAAAGACTTTCTGAAGATGGCAAAAGTGAATGGCCCCCGCAGTATTCTTTAATTCATAGAAACATTACTTTCTCACCTATTTATGACTCTTAAATTAATATTTTAAGTAGTTGATTATTTTGTTATTCTCAAAAGTTAGTAATATTTGTGCTGAATCAAGACTCTGGCCTTTGTAAAAGGTCCTTACCTGCAGCACATCTTGGATCTTCACCCACACATCTGCCATATCATACAATTTGATCTCTTCCTGCTGGGTCACTGGAATCCCAACAGAGTCCTGCAGATACCCCAGAACCACAGAGTGAGCAGTGGCCACAGCATTAAACTTGTCAAACAGCAGTTCCAGAAGCTCTAGAAGTAACCTGTGGCAAAACAAACCAACAAATAAAGAACATTTATACAAACACACACATACACACAAATACATATGCACACACACACATTCACACACAGACAGAAATGGTTTACATTAGAATACAAGAAAAACATCAAACTCAGATAATACAGCACTCTAAAAACATAAATAGTACAAATATCACAAATTATAAACAGATTTGATTTCAAACAGTTGCATGATCTAAGTAATTTCATATGTTAGTATCTAGACCCAGATACTCTCCTATAAAGTTAACATAATTAGATGGGGATTGGTGGTTCTTGTCTGTAAACCTAGGTACTCAGGAGGCTGAGCTCTGGAGGACTAAAGTTCAAAGCCAGCCTAGTTAGAAAAGTCAACAAGACTCTATTTCCAAAACAACCAGCAAAAATAGCCAAGATGGAGATGTAGCTCAAGAAGAGTATCAGCTGAGCAAGTAAGCAGTGTTAGCCAGCAAAAGGCCCTGAGGTCAAACTCTGACACATTGGAGAAAGTAAGTACAATAAACATAATCAAAGATTTTATAGCCGGGCATGTGTGGCTCGCACCTGTAATCCTAGGTACTCAGGATGCTAGGATCTAAGAATCATAGTACAAAGCTAGCCCAGGTAGGAAAGTCTGTGAGACTCTAATCTCCTGTTAGCCACCAGAAAACCAGAAGTGGAGTTGTGGCTCAAAGTTCTAGAGCTCTAGCTGTGACCCAAAGAGCAAAGGACAGCTTCCAAACCCTGAGTTCAAGCCTCACAACCAAAAAAAAAAAAAAGTTTTGATACACCAATTATAGGTGTTGAAAGTAATACAGTAGACAGTAAAAATTTGTTCAAAGTATACGATGCACATATGTGTAATGACTACAATGCCCCTTTGTATGATTAATGTATACTTTTAAAGAAAGTAAAAGTATAGCCCCTAAGCCATCAGTAGCAGCTCAGTAAATACTTTTTTCCTTTTAAAAATATTTTAGTGGTTATTCAGATAGGCAGCTTCTCCAAGGACTTCGGGCAATTTTTTTCAGACTATGTTTTACATGTTACACAGAATATGTTACACCCTAGTAATAAATTAGGCACTGTGGTAAGGACACTAATCCTTTTAGTCATGGAAAGTGAGCTTACTACCATTCGAATATATGGCTTAAGGTGCCAGAAAAAAAAAAAATACACATCTGTCAAGCAATCTGACTTTCACTACAGGGAGCAGCTTAGACATCCGCATTATCTCATTTATCATAGTGAGATATGCTGGACACATATTATTACATCGATTTTATAAACTCAAGGACACAAAATGAGGTTGCAAGGCAGACAGGCCTAGAGCAAAAGTTGATTTCCATGTCATTGCTTTTACCTATCTACTTCTCACTACCATTCTTGAATGCAGATATATATTTACAGATAGCTTTATATCATATATACAAAGCAATTCTTCAACTACTGATGCTTACATCTTTCCTGATCACCCCAGCCTAGGATCATCATTTCTTCCTCTAAATTTGTATAATATTTTATCCCACTTTTAAGGAAATTATTATATGTGGTTTACATTACTTGGCTTAGTTAATGTAGATCATGTTTATTCATACACAGAAATTTTGCCTCCCTTCTCTATTATTAGTCTTTCAGGACAAGCCCTGCATTAAACATTTCTATATTCAAGAGCACTTTGAACAAGGGTTAGCAAATATTTGCTGAATGAATTTAATATGCATATTATGAACAACAAGCACAGAAAATCTTGGAATTTCAGATTTATTGAGTGGTTCTCAGTGTATAGCTCCTGAATAAACTAATTTTTAAAAAAAACCTGAAAGTAGGAAAGGAGAAGCAAAAGAGCTTGATAGCAGTATCAGGTAACCAGATCTTATTACCATAAATAAGGGGTTATATCACCTAATCAAAACATATAGCATATTATCTATTCCTATAGTTCCTTTACTGCCCAATTATTATAATTAATATGCCAATGTGACAACCCATAAGTGCCTTATATGACAAAATCTTAATATCTACCTGGCACTGTAATTTGAACAAATAGAATGAATCAAAAGTATGCAGTATTTCTAGTCTACAATCCATAATCTAAAATTACAAATGGTAAATGGGAGCCGTTCTGCCTTTCAAGTAGTATTTTCTTCAACCTGCTAAATGTCAGTTCATATTTATATTCATATGTGCCTAGAATTTTTTTATCTTTTTCATCTGTGTTATTGAAGAAATACTCAAACTATAACATATAGGAAGTACAAAATACAGAAAGATGTATCTGAGCATAACAGGTGAAATAGTTAATTCAGTCTTGGGAAACAATGGCATTACATACAGTAAATACCCAGGTACCTTAAGAT